ATTACTGAACATGTTCAATAACTCAATGAAAGGTTGACAAGCACCCTTTTCATGTTACCGCCAACTGTATTTATAAATTAACGTGTACCTGCCAAAGCAACTACATTGGCTGAACAGAAAGTAGGGCATATCTAAGACCTATTTAAATATATTTTAAAAAGCCTCAGAACAAGGGGAAGGAAGACTGTAAACAGTGCAATCACCAAACATCTCCTTGATACAGGACATCAGGTCGATACCTTACAGTCTTTCAAACTGATTAGTATGTAGCCAAACTCCAGTCTTCTGAAGTTTGCTGAAGCCGTTGTTATCAGGCATCGAAAACCTGAATTATGTGTCCAAAAGGAGATGGTTATTAATTTTTCGTTACCATGGTGACAAATATTCCTTCGTTGAATCCTAAACTTTTTTAATTTTTTTAAAACACTTTCTTGAATTTATTACATCATTGAGTTTTTATTTCAACTATCTTCCATATTAATAATCTTATTTTATTAACTAAGCTTTACTCATTTTATTCCTATCAATGTTTACTTGTTTCTGTGTCTTCAAGATAACTTCCAACCAAATCCTTTCATATAAGTCATTTCAATCCATTATTTAATAATGATTTTAAATATCACAGGTTGTAAGAAGCTGATGAGAACCAAACGAAGGAAAATGAATTCATACTATTCTGTTAGAATCTTTATACTTACTCTTTTTATAATGATAAATGGAACTATGTATAAATGAGATAAAATTTGACATTTTTGTTTTGTTTTGTTTTAATGTTTTAGAGAATGAAGAGAATACAAGATGAGAATCCTACGCTAGATTTAATGAAAGAAGATAACATTTAATGAATTGTTTGAATATAAATGATTTTAATTAACTTTATCAGTATATTTTTAATTATTATCCTAATGCATTTTCCCCTGAATGATTGAATTTATGGTAAAATGTAATCTTATTATTGTTATATAGTTTTTCTGTTCATGTTTTGATCTGAGCACCCAGACAGTATCATAGCCTACACACAAATCAAGTGATTTATGTGGAACATATGTATTCGGTGCCCCTTTGTATCAATATGTATGTGTTTAAATAAATAATAAATAATAATAAACAAATTTATAAACTACTGACAGAGATTTACTTAAGTATGTGTACAAGTTAGACTGGTAATTTGTATAATCTATAATTAAGTAGTAATTTATGAAAAGCCTCATTAAATGATTCAGTAGTTCAACGCATGACACCAATCACCAACTAAGGATTATATAAGGTGCTGTTCTGCATATAGAATCCTTCACATACCTGGGAAGCATGATCGATGAACAAGGAGGTTCAGATGCTGACGTTAAGGCGAAAATCGGCAAAGCAAGGGCTGCATTCCTTCAATTGAAGAAAATATGGAACTCAAAGCAACTTTCAACCAATATCAAAGTCAAAATTTTCAAGTCAGTTCTACTGTACGGAGCTGAAATCTGGAGAAATACAACAACCACCATCAAGAAGGTACAAGTATTCATGAATAGCTGTCTACCCAAGATACTCAACATCGATTGACCGGATACCATTAGGAACAGCCTTCTCTGGGAGAGAACAAACCAGCTTCCAGCTGAACGAGAACTTAAAAAAGACAATGGAAATGGACAGGACATACATTGCGAAAATCATCAAACTGCATCACGAGGCAAACCCTAACTTAAAATCCTGAAGGGAAGCGGAAAAGAGGAAGCACAAAGAACACATTACGTTGGGAAATAAAAGCGGATATGAAAAGGATGAATAACAATTGGAAGAAGCTGGAAAGGATTGCCCAGGACAGGGTTGGATGGAGAATGCATATATTAAAAATAACATATATTAAAAACTTGTTAAATATATCAAGGTGTTTAATCGCACACGAGAATATCAGACTCCAAAATAATGGTCTCATCAAGAAAGTAGTGCTGTGATTACATTAAAATTTGCATAATGACGAATTTCAATTTTGATACCTATACCGTTAGACCCACAGGTGTATGTAGAAGGAAAACACGTTTCCTGAAATAATTACAATAAAATAATTTCAATAGTTGAGATCATGAGTCAATTGAAGCTAGACCATCATGGAAAAACTGGAAGCACTGGATTAGTTGAAGCTAGACATTAACACCGTTAAATGCGGGCTCAGTGGTCTGGTGATTAAGTGCCTTCGTCGAGACTGACAGGTCATGGGTTTGAATCCCACGAGTTGGGATCGTGGGTGCGCACTTCTGAGGAGTCCCATAATAGGACGAAACGGTCATCCAGTGCTTCCAGGTTTTCCATGGTAGTCTAGCTTCAATTGATTAATGATTTCAACTAGTGAAATTATTATAATATCCACAAAAACCCTTCTGAAATAAAATAGTTTACACGATACAATAGATAGTATGAATAACAACAAGTAACTGCGTTCAAAGTCAAAGATCGAAAAGACAACTGAGAACATGGTTAAAGTAAACACGCACATAAACATTCATTGAATGTACAAAAATATTGAAAATTAATATTGTTTACTACATATTATCTAGTAGTATAATGTCACATATGAAAAGATTATCGATTAGGATCAAATATAAGTCAGACGCGTGGAGTGAATAATCAACTAAAGAAGACATCACTCAGTATTTTTGCAAAGAGATTACTAACCATTTTCATATCAGATATAATAAATTACTTTTAAAAAGCTTCCTTTTCTATAAATAAAAGCTTAGACATCCCTATTTAATTCTATCTGCCTAAACTCACGTAAAAGACTAAACTTACTCAGCTGTCGAAAATTGTGAAATTTAGAATGGCATATCATACTTCAATTTTCAAATTGACATCATATTATTTTATTATTTACTTTTACCAGGCATCAGGAACCTAATAAATTCAGTTAATTCTCTTGGTATTTAGATTACATCCGATAGCACAAGCAAACGGCTATCAGGACTCAGTAGCTAGGTAAACAACGCGATGGCATTTGAAGCGAACAGTACTGGGTTCAAACCCTAGAATGAACATCAACTCAGATGCAGATAAATCCAACTGACGGGTGTTGAATAGGGCAAAACGCGCGTTCTGGATTCCTCAGCTAGCCATTATCCATCTGTACTCAATTAATTCTGTTAAACTTGCTCCAGAATACCAAAGCATTCCAACTGATCGTTCGGTACATTTTCAATCTTAATAAAAAATTATATATGCGGTTGTGGTATACATGTTTTGAATACTTCTTTCATAGTGCCCTTATTTAAACAACTGAACAAGATTATTTACATATAAAAGTGCTGAAAAATAAAGATATATAATTTGTCAGTATAGGGTTGTGGAGATTGTTGAGTTTCAATTAAGACCATGGATCAATCAATGTTAAACCATCATTGAAAACTTGGAAGCACCGGGTGACTACTTCTTTTTGGGATGGGACTGCTGAGCAGTCCCACAAATGGGACAGATGAACGATTAACCTCTAGATCAATGAGTTGTCATTCAACGGTGTCAATTTCTAATTTTAACCACGACGACCATCTTCCATTGTCCAGCAATTTACTTTAACGATCTTAGCTTATTTTTCATAATATTTAGAACGATTATTCTCAAATGATGACGCTGAATTAAACCGAGTTAGTTTGTTGGATTTTACCTCTTATCCAACAAACGTGCATTTTAATATGTATCACAGATGTAAAGCAGACGGTTTAAAGTCAAATGTTTCACTTCTCACTATTTATTACTAATTTTACAGAAGCTTTATTCAAGTTCATAAATTCGAATCCATCAATCTCTAAGCTTTAATTTAATTATAAGCTAAATTTTTTGGATGAACTTCATATCAAGTACTGTGAATTAAAAAGATTGGCGTTCCAAATGATCAGCATAATTTGACCTTATTCAACTTTCATTTGTAAATTCATTTTCGAAAATAGTTTTATATACATAATCTATTATTATTGTAGTTAGGGGTTGCCAAACCAAAACGTCGCATTAGTGCTTGAAGTCACTAACTTCTAGTCTGAACCATGTTGTAGGGTTCAGACTACTTGGTTGGAGTCCACGCGACTATCGTAACCAATGGTTGGAGACTATAGGTGACATGGCTCAGAATCGGTCACATTGGCGATGGTGTATACACTCTTTGTCTTCCCTTAAACTAAGAGACTAAAATCGCTCCATATCTTTCTTTTTGTACCATGTCCTTACATAAAATCTTTCATTTATATATAACACCATTGAGTTAACTGCTTCCATGAATCCAGTTTTCGTCTTGCTGTACTAATGGGGTGTGGCAACTTGGACCGATGCATGTATGTGTCTGGTCCTACGTTGTAAATGACTGACTGACTGACTGAACGAGAAAACAACTAGGGTCATTAGAATGTATTTAAACACACAAATTATAGAACATTTTAGTAAAATCTGAAAACCATACAGTATATACTTCATTCGCAAAATTTCAATCAATTGTCTCAGACTTTGTTGTTCCTTTGTTTTCACATCAATCACTCTCTATTCTCGTTCTTTATTCTTTGATCTTCTTAATCTTCTGTCACCAGACATTTCACTTCCTGTTGATGATACTTACTACTTATATCTGTCGACATCGGTAGCACACACCACATTACGACTATTATTGAATTAGAAGATGAAAGTATTTTATTTTGATCTCATTAGTTGAACATTATTGCATCATGTGAACATAGATCACAGTACCATTAATAACCTAAACAATATTCATGTATTCTTTTAGTTACTATATTAATTTGTTAATCAATAAAACATGTATACTACCTTTCATTTTTACTTATTACCGACCGTTTAAACAAACCGCTTAAATAAAACATTAATACAGATTTCTTTTAAATGATAAATTTAATTTGAACAACATTAAGAGAAAATATTGAAAATTTAAAACGTTATCTTTCGGTGATTTTCTTCATGTTAAAAAACACTTGTGTACACCATATTGTTGTTTTTTCTGTTTTCCTTCTTGTATATCTCTTCTAGTTCTTATAAAAAGCTGGATCGTCTAGTGTTTGTTCAGAAAGAACAAAAGACAGATGAGTAAAGTATGACTGCTCTGAGTTACATAGATTAATTATATGTAATAAAAATTTAAATTATCGTATAGATTGTGTCTATGCCACCTTACCGTATACGCAGGCTTGTATGTGTTCAAGAGGACCAAACACTTTAAACTGTATGGTATGAAGATAAACTGTTATTTTAACACTGAATAATTTGCCTACACTCTTTTATAAACGTACTTTCTATGATTGTGTACGTATTTGCAAAAATTGCCCGCTTCTTTACCAAAACACTAATCGTTTAAAACTATCGATATGGTACATAAATGAAATGACTTATCCATTTATATGAAATAATTAGAAGAGTAAATATTGTTCCTTCAGTTTTCCTCACATTTATCCTTGACTGCTGGTTGCATCACATAAGTTGTGTACTTGAAACAAATCTGTCTATTTGCTAAATTTCACCTTCTCAAGATCAAATAATGTTTAGAGCTATCGTAGTAACAATTATCAGAGCTATTAGTAAACTAAGAATAGAATAAGCTCTCCAGAAGTGAAGATAAGTTTAAATAATATGTATTAGTTTTAGATTTTCCATGCTCATCTAGTTTACAAAAATTTGATTTTATTTAATCAAATAAATAATCAAAACAATCTCTTGTAAAATGACTATGAACTAGACACTCATTGAAATGAAAACAATATTTTTAATAGACCTATCATTTCTATGAATCAGTTAGGCTTTTCTTTACTATGAGATAACCTATGTTAGTTTTAAGACTGTTAATAGTTATTATAATTTAATTATGCAGTAAACTGAACCAAATCATCCCGGCCGTTGTTGCTACCTTGACGTGGTGGTCGGGCTTGCCTATCGTGATGAAGCAACCGAGCTATACTGCCCGGAACAGTCATTTCTCAAGGTCCTACAATGCCAGACAGGTTGGTTGGAGAGCGGTAAGACTAAAAACAGATAACACAAGGTCTGAGGGCTAAGTCGTACTGCTGAATGTACAGTGGTGTGGCAGCAGTAACGTGTTTCCTTCAGACAATCAGCATGACAGAGATGCTGCCTTCCCACAAAGAGGGGTGGGATTAGAAAAGGTCGACCCTAAAAATGCACACCTCACCTTATCCCACGGATATCTGTCTTCAGCGATAAGGTCTCAACAAGTACGGAGCTAACACAAAAATCACTCATAAAAAGGTCGTGTGTGACCGACCTCAAGCAGTTGTCCCTTGGCCACTACGGTCACACTCTCAGGTCACTAAGACCACCTCTAATCCAATTTCCTTTTCAGGTACCTCCAGAATGACCTTTCCACGGTGTGGGCAACCAGGAAGTGATAACTGCCCTCATACCTCTAACAGCACTCAAGACAACTGAATCAAATCATTCAGGTTTTATTAAATAAATATTGAGTACTTAACTTTAGAATTATTTAAAAATGAGTTATAATAGTAGAGATATTTTATATATAGACGATTATTTCTATCGGAAGGGGTTTTGTGGAGATTGTAGGAATTCCAATAGTTGAAATCATGAGTCAACTGAAGCTAGACAACTGGTGAGGAGTCCCACAACAGGACGAAACGGCCGTCCAGTGCTTCCAGGTTTTCCATGGCGGTCGGGTTTCAGTTGACTTATGATCTTAACTATTGAGATTATTTCTATACTTTAACAAGCCAGACAACAAAGATTCAGTTCAAAACTGCTTAGTTAAAATCATTATTTTATGGTATTTATATAAGATAACAATAACAAGGTTTGTAGTGATTACTGAACTTTGAAGATAATTTTCACTTTAGAATAACTTTAGTTAGACGACTAGTTAGACAAAACTAGGAAGAACTGAAGTACGGTTTATTCCCAATATCAGATTCCTTATCAGTTCAAACTAATTATGACGTCAAAATTTGCTTCAAGTACCTACCCTCAAGACAATTGTATTGGTTTCTATTCGTTTCGGTATATGTTATAAAGATATTTGTTTGCGAACAACAATATATCTTAGTAGGTCGATATTCTCACTGTTTATGTTAAGTCAGGCAGAGTTTTAATAGTCGTAGTGTTTATAAACAAAAAGGTATAAGTATTTGCAAATAGTTGTCTACGCAAGATACTGAATGTTCCTTGGCCGGATACCATCAGTAACAGCCTACTGTATGAGAGAACAAACCAACTTCCAACTGAAGAGAAAATTTGGCAAAAACTTTGGAACTGGATAGGGTAAACATTTAGGAAATCAATGAAATGCATCATTAGGCAAGCCCTATTTTGGAATCCTGAAGGAAAGAGAAAAATAGGAAGGCTAAATAACATACTTCATCAGGAATCGGAATCAGACATTAACAGAATAAATGGCAACTCAAAAAATACTGGAGAGGATTACCCAAGACAGGGTTGAATAGAGAATGCTGGTGGTCAGTCTATGCTCCTCCACGAGGAGTAACAGGCGTAAGTAAGTAAGTAAGTAATTAAGTAATAAGTAAGTAAGTAAGTAAGTAAGTAAGTGAGTAACTTCAAGCAAATTCTTACAATCCATACATCGTTTTATGTTTTATAGCCGACAATAAAGCATGTAATACATTTTAAACACATATTAATGATAAAAGAATTAATAATAAATTATCTAGTGAAGAATAATGCAAATTACTTGACTTCCGAACTTGTTTAGGTAATTTTATTGAAACCTCTTCACCAATTTTTTTGCCTATTATTATAAGAAAGATAAATAGTTTTATATTAAGATTGATAATATAGGAGAAATTGTAAACCTTTTTTTCTCATTTACCTTGTCCCTGAAAAAACATTACTACATATACTGTATTAAGATTTGTTAATAACAATTTGTCAAAGATAAACTAAACACCTATTTATAATCAGAGAGGGGTTTTGTGGATATTATAGTAATTGTAATAGTTGAGATCATGAGTCAATTGAAGCTAAACCATCATGGAAAACATAGAAAACCTAGCCGTCCAGTGCTTCCAGGTTTTCTATGGTGGTCTCGCATCAACTGACTCATGAATTCAATTAATAAATAATTACAATCTCCACAAAATTCCCCTTCTGACTGTAGTCATCATATGCTCACTTGGGACTGTTTCCAAGTGTTAATACCTGAAGTCCTAGTGAGAAGCCGTGACTAGTAGATTTCGACTGGGTCTGTTGTGAGATAGTAACTCATTGAAGACAATGGTAGACGGTGGCGCAATTTCATGGATTGGATGAAGTTAGACATTAACACCGTTGGATTCCGGATCAGTGGTCTAGACATTAAGTGTTTGCGCACGAGACTGATAAGTGCTGGGTTCAAATCCCGCAAGGTGGGATCGTGGATGTGCACTGCTTAGGAGCCCCATACTAAGATTAAACGGCCCTCAAGTGCTTCCAGGTTTCCCATCTTCATCTAGCTTCAATTCACCCATGAATTTAACTATTAAATTACCTATTGATGACTTTTAGTAATGATAAACTAAATTGTAATAAATATTCAATTAACAAAATAAAACTTTTTGTTTTATAAATAGTGTAAAAATTACCTTTCCTTTTGCGTCCAATTCTGATTTCTCTTTGAAAGTCTCGTTCATACTCTAATGAAAATAAAATTTACATAACCAATAATAAAAAAATTGACAAGACTATAATTTATAGACGAATCAATCACCTATAAAATAACAGGTCTCGGATTTTGGTGAGAAATTCACTCATCCATTTGAATAAATAGAGTTTTGACATCATAGCTGATGTCAATTCGTGATGAAAACCCGAAATCTAATTACTAACCTTAACCATCAACTGTAAATCATAATTCTAATTCCTCACACAAATTTATAACCCTCATTTGGTTCTGGTTAATAAGTGAATACTCTCAATGTCGCTTTGACATCACTCAAAGGTCGTCCATAAATTATAGTCTCCCCAAAATATCAAAATAATCTGGTGGTACTAAGCATAATTTCTTGTTGGAAGATAGTATGTACTTTTACAGTTCTAACTCTATTTGTATAAAGGCATAGCTCAGAAGAAAGATTTAGGTGTTATTATTATTATTCATAACTTTTTCTGGTTAGCGTTTTTCTAGCGAGTTGGTTTTCGACGGGACGAGGTCGCTAACCCTATACTCAATCCTCCTCCCTTATCCAGGCTTGGGACCAGCAGTAGCCTCAGAGAGGCTCCAGGCCTATGCTCCATTGAGAGTAACAGGCGTAAACAAAACATTAAACAAACATATTATTCATAATCAGTGTTCGAATAGAGAAATTTCCATCGACCATTTTTTTAAGATTATCATCAGTGTTTCCTTCAAAAATAAATGAGCTATTTTATTTACGTCACTTGTAACTAAAATGTGGTAATTTTAGTATTTAATACCTTTCGCAACCTATTTATTCTAATCTCTATTATGAACTATGACCAAGAGTTATTACCTGGAGTTCTAGTGAGAAGCCGTGACTAGTCGATTTCGATCGGGTCTGTTGTGAGATAGTAACTCACTGAAAACAATGGTAGACGGTGGTGCCATTTCGTGGATTGGCTGTAGAGTAATGAGTTTTCTTTGTGAATCAACGGATATATTTTCTTTATATTCATTCTGTTTTTAATATTTTAGCATAGATTGTTTTCAGTAGAATTCATATATTTGTCTATATACATTGATTATTATATCCAACGTTGTATCATGAAGCTTTTTGATGTATTCACTCATTAATATTTATGTATGTATCATACGTAAGTAAATTTCAAAAATATTTCATTGCTCACCTGGACCTTCATCATCATCTTCTTCTTTAGGCTTTTTAGTTTGTTTCGCCTCTGTTGGTTTCTCATCCTCATCATCTTCTTCCTTTTCTAAGTTAAAAATAAATATAATTATATATATAGTGTTGTTCATTGTTTAAAGCAATCCATAATTTTAATCGTTGAGATCATGAGTCAATTGAAGTTAGACCACCATGGAAAACCTGGAAGCATGGTGGTCTAGCTTTAACTGACTCATGATCTCAACTATTGAAATTACTACAATCTCCACAAAAGCCCTTCTGATACCAATCCACTATTGCTTATTTTTTATACAAATAAAATGTTCTTTTAATTTGTTATCATTGCTGTCATCAGACAGTGTTAGTGTTTTACTTCAGAAGTTTTCGTATCCAGTGAATAGCACAAAAATCTAAGTTCATTATATGTTCGACAAGTTTATTTATACCTTAATAAACTGAATGTGTATTAGCTCAAAAAGTTATCATAATGAATGTACAGTCATTTTGTTACACCTAATGCAAATAACTCAGTTTTATTTTAGTTAAGATCATCAAGTTTCTTTATTTAATGATTACAATGTGGTATGTGCTACTGAACCCGACAGATATAAGTAGTATGTATTATCAGTTGAAAGTGAAATGCCTCGAGGTACAAGGTTAAACAGATCGATGAAAGTAGAATGAGAACAAAGAGTGATTGGTGTGAAAAAGAGGGTACAATGAAGTCTGAGACGATTGATTAACATTTTGCAAATGAAGTATATAACTGTATGGTTTTCAGATTTTACTAAAATGTTTTATAATTTGTGTGTTCAAATACATAGGATTGATCTCAGTTTTTTTCTCATTCACTACAACAATATAGGTTTTGTTATTGGCTTCTTATTGACATAGACTATTATGATTTTCATTTTGATTGAAATCATGAGTCATTTGAAGCTAGATCACCATGGAAAACCTGGAAGCACTAAACGGCTGTTTTGTCCTAGTATGGGACTCCTCAGCAGTGTGCATCCACAATCCCGCACCCCGTGAGATTCGAACCCTGGACCTATCGGTCTCGCTTCAGGCGCTTAACTAAGTCGACCACTGAGCCGGCATGTCTAATCTCAGCCAATCCACGGAGTTGCGCGACCATCTTCCATTGTACTGAGGTAGACAACTGTTTCTAACCTACACTGATTAGCTCCACTGGTCACGGCTTTCCACCAGGAGCCCCACAATGGGAAGAAACGCCGTCCAGTGCTTTAAGGTTTTCCATGTTGGTCTAGCTTCAATCGACTCATGATTTCAAACAAAAATTTCTATTCTCTGATCGCTTATATTAATTATGTTAATTAGATATGTTTAACTTAAAGCATATGCAATACAAAAGATGATTCCATAAAGAAAGACATCAAATATGTCTTATTATTATTGAGAAAAAAATTGACGAATAAATACATAACCAAATGAACACAGTAACTTAACAATCATCAAAAATGATATAGTTCATTACACAGAATCATTCACATCTAATATATATTTTCATATTTGTGGCCAACGTTCAACAACTAGATTATTACATAATCAATAATAAAGATAATCGATTGTTGAAGAAACCAATACAAAATTGTAACTGGGTAATTTGTTAATTAAATGATTACATAACAATGATCAAATATTATTACTGTTGAAGTCATCTATTGTTATAATTTAGTTGATTTTATAAGTCATAAACGTTTTCGATAAATACTTATTAATTTCATTTACCTGGTGTCGTTCTTGTAACTCTTCTATCAACTTTAACTTCTGCTCTTGACTTTCGAATTGTTTCTTCTGGAAACATTGAAACAAACAATTATATTTTCCATTAATTCTTTCTAGTTTTTACTTTAATATACAGATTTATGTATATATATGTAAATTATTAGTTGAGATCATGAGTTAATTTAAACTAAACCACCATGAAAAACCTGGACGACCGTTTCTTCCTAGTGTGGGACTCCTCATCAGTGCTCATCTATGATCCCAACTTTCGAGATTCAAACATATCGGTCTCGCGTGCGAACGCTTAACCTCCCACTAATTTATTTAATAAGACTTGAGGCTTGATAGTTGTATTAATATCTAATGATCAGTTAATATTTGTAACTAGATTGGTGTTATTATAATGTCAAGCATACTTGTAATGCAGAAAAATGTTTCAACTGCAATCATTAGCAAACATGTTCCCAAGGAATAATTTTCTTGAAATAGCGATGAAATGCACCAAAACTGAATGAATCTTAGCTGAAAAACACCTCGAACGATTAGAATATTTTAGACCAAGATTTCTTTTATCTATAGTAAGTTGTGTACTACTTTAAATACTGAGATGAGCATAAAATAAGAACCTTCCATATTTTTGATAGATATAAAGGTATTCAGAAGCAAAGGGCGAGAATTTGAATTCTCTTATCAAAATAGGTTATGCTTCCATATAAAGACAAAACTTGTCGGTTATAAAACATAAACTACAAAGAATATTCAGATATATTTGTCTTTTCATGATTTCAAATAAACAAAAACATTTTATGAACCCAAGAACGATTCAACTTATTGGATACCTGTTCATGTAATATTTTGTATGAGACCTTAAAATACATCAGACAAAAAAGATTTATTCAGGACTAAAAAAATATTGCTTCTGAATAGTCCATAGAAAAAAATATCAAAACAAATCTATTTCATAAACAAAGATGGATATTGGCTAGCAGTGGGATCCAGGAGGCGAGTTTCATCCTATTCAAGACTCGTCAGCTGGATGTACTTGCATTTCAGAGTTGATGTTCACTCTGGGACTTGAACCCAGTATTATTCGCTTCAAACAACATCACATTATATATTTATCTACTGAGTCCTGATAGCCACTTGCTTGTGCAATGGGGTGAATTTAAATTCACTTAGTATTATTCGGCTTGTATCTTCCCGTTGTTATTTAAGACTGCAATTGATCAGTCTGTTATTGGCATATGTGCATACTCTGCGTATGCCTCGATATTACCTTAATTCACAAGCTTTTTATAAGCAATGATGGATAGTGGCTAGCGATGGGATCCAGGAAGCGCGTTTTATCCTATTCAAGACTCGTCAGTTGGATGTACTTGCATTTCAGAGTTGATGTTTACTCTGGGACTCAAACCCAGTACCGTTCGCTTCAAACACCATCACATTATCCATTTATCTACTGAATCTGTTTCAGAATATGACAATATCATGAAAATTTCCCATCACTTGTTTAATTATCAAGACCTTAGGTTGAAACTTCTCAATGTATCAGTTCTCTACAAAGTTTTCAATAAAATTCAGACAAATAATGATATTTTACTAGCTATTACCTTAAAAAATCAATAGGAGAGTGCTGGTTGGCGGCCTATGATCCTTGTCGAGGAGTAACAGGCGTAACTAAGTAATTTTAACTAAATATTTTGATTTGCCGAACCAATAGTAATTGAAAAACTCAAATCTGATTTATGTATCCACATAAAGAGATAATAACCAACTTATCATTACTTTGAAAAATTCACAGTTTGGACTAATATCACCAGAAACCATTACCTTTTTTGTTATTATCATTATTATTATTTTATTATCAGTGTGAGGTTGTGGAGATAGTTGATTTCTTAATTCAGATCATGAGTCGACCAATATTAGAGCACCATTAAAAACCTTGAAGAAGTGGATAGTCGTTTCGTCCTAGTACGAGACTCTTCAGCAGTGCGTACTTAATTAGTGGATATTTTGTTATGAAGTCTTCTTGTACGCCGAAATCATCGGTTTCTTCAATTAATTCAATTCTTTGATCTTAAATGAACTTTTTAAATTTTGTATAACTACTATGTTACACTTCAGTTTCGAATTCTAGTTAGTTTCCACATCATTGTTTTATGTCTTCTATATCTATATTTAAATGATATGAAACTTATATAAACTTTTATCAACCTTTTTTCTCCTCACACGATTCATCTCATTTGTTTTTGAACTTTATTTAATTTTCACCTCAACCCTCATATTTTGTGGATTCTATCTTCAAGTGACCTTAGACTTACTCGTGTACAGATATGTATGTTCAATCAGGTCTGTTGGGAGATAACAACTCACTGAACACAATGGTGTACGGTGGCGCAACTTCGTGGATTAGTTGAAATTAGACATTAACACCGTTGGATGCCGGCTCAGTGGTCTAGCGGTTAAGTGCTTGAGCGTGAAGCCAGTAGGTCCTGGGTGCGCGCTGCTGAGGAGTCCCATACTAGGACGGGACGGCCGTCCAGTGCTTCCAGGTTTTCCATGGTGGTCTAGCTTCAATCGACTCATGATTTCAACCTGTGAGATATGTATATAGTCATTACTTATAATCTTTATTATTCTAATATAATTCATCATCAATGTTGACTGCTTCATATTATATGATTATCTCGATGTCACAATTTAGTATATATATATATATATATGGTTGTGATCAACTAATGGTAAACCATTATGTAAAGGCAAGCAACTGTATCAAAATTGCATGACATTTTTTACACATATAGGACGTACCTGTCGGGGGCACTGTAAAGAAATTAAGTTAACGCAAGAAAAAAAGACGATATTATCTTCACAAAGAAGGTATTTCTACAAGTTTATGTCATTAAAACAATTGAACTCAGTATTGGCCAATATTTGACAGCTATAATGAAAAATTGTGTTTTCCTATTAATATACTTATTTCCACAAACAATTGAAGGGCGATAATATAATATGGACATACAAATATATATGGTGATTATATACAATCATAATAAATTACAATCACTTGAATACTATTATATTCTAGTGAAGATTAAATTGCAGTTAACTTTTGAGACCTAGTAATGGACTAATATTATCTATATATTTTTATTGTATAACTCCGTTATGCATATCTATATTCCTCTTATTATAAGCTTCATTTTGACTTACAGACTATTATTAGACGATTTATTGTTCCTAAGTTATGTTAAGTTTATTGATTACAGTCTCCCACATTCATAGCCACTATTTGCACAAATTTTATTTCCTATACTATGGTGTGATGTGGTCTATTTGGCTGGTATATAAACTAAGTATGTTTGAAATAGATGATTCGCATAGTGGAAGATGTTGTTGCCGTTCTGAACTGAACTGGAAAAGCTAGGAGAAAAAAAGGACCAATAAGGATAACAAGTTGCTCATACAAGTCAAAAGTCATTGGTTTGGCACAGTATTAATCTTGTATAAGTCACATTTCGATTGGCGAATAAATCAGGTGATAATTAGCCTTAAAAATAATGTTCCTTATTGAGATGGTGGAGAAGATTTGTAACTCAAGTGGATGATTTTGGCGGAGTTTTGTTCTCTTAGCTGGATGGTTTGGTCGTGTGGTTTGTGTATTTTGGGTCTGCCGTAGAATCGACAGAGTACTGGTCCATTGAATTTCGTTCTCCATCCAGCTTAGAGAACAAAACTCCACCAAAATGTTCCTTATTGATATTTGCCACACTTTTCTTAGCTTTACTATTTGTTAATTTTTTTTATTTGATTCAAATTCATTTATTATAGATCACAAATTAGATTCCTTTAAATGTCAAAATTCTATCGTTTAAACTCTAGCGAATGAAGGAAAATTCTATTCTGTAAATACTTACTCATGGACTATGTAAATAATTTATAAATTTTAATAGTTGAATTCATGAGTCAATTGAAGCTAGACCACAATGGAAAACCTGAAAGTACGGGATGGCCGTTTCATCCTAGTATGGAACTCTTAGGCTGTGAGAATCCACGGTCCCATCTCGGGAGACTGGAACCGAGGACCTATCACTCCTGATTATAATCATCATATGTTCACTAATGACTGGCTTCAAGAGGTGTCTCCTGGAGTTCTAGTAAAAAACAGAGACCAGTGAAGTTCAACCGGGTCTGTTGTGAGATAGTAACTCACTGAAGAGAATGATAGAGATTGATAGGTCCTGGGTTCGAATCCCGCGAGGCGGTAAGATGGGTGCGCACTACTGAGGAGTCCCATACTGAGACGAAACAGTGGTCCAGTGCTTCCAGGTTTACGATGGTAATTTAGCTTTACACGACTGATGAATCTAACCATTAAAATTATTATAATATCCACAAAATCCCCTCTGATTATAATTTATAAAATACTAAGTACGTAATTAAATTGAATAATTCAAATCTTGGGGAAAATGGTAATCAAGTGACTGACGAATAAACAATCAGACTAACTAATGGAGTTTATCATTGATGATGAATGTTAGTTATTTAAATTCAAAAGAAATTATCCATACGAAAGTGTATTTTTTCATTAAAGAGGTTTTGTAAGGGCGTATTTTACATATTACATAATTTATAAAAGAAAAATATTATTTACTCAGTTGGACAGTAATACGACTTACCTTTATGTGGTGCTTTGGTAATTTTTATAGTACGTGGTATTATGGTTTCTTCACTCTCGATTTCTGTAAATACTTCCCATCCTTTTTCTATAATAACGGAAAATAAATTAGGACATTGATTAGTTTCATCCAACTATATACTAGTAATTTTGTATGATTATCACATACCATCATGTTAACCTTTGAGGTGGTTTGATTCATGTAAAATAGAAGTAAATACTGATAGATATATGATAAATATCATCCTAGTTATTAAAAGATCAGAGTTGACTATCATAGATTGGCTATACTCAAATATATGGACATTTGGACTTTGATGAAATGATAGCACGTCATCTGAATTAGGACTTGAAAGTATTGAGTGTGATTACGTATGAAATTGTAAAATGATACTAATGAAAATTCCCCAAATAACCATTTCAGTTCTAAACATTAATAGGAAAATTCAAACAACCAAAACAGAATGAATAAAAACTTCACCCCATTGCACAAGCTAGTGACTAACTGGACTCGGTAGCTAAGTAGAAAACATACTGGCTTTTGAAGTGAACGTTAATGGGTTTGAATTATGGAGTGAACATCAGATCTAGGATGCAGGTGCATGCAGCTGATGAGTCATAAGTAGGACGAAACGCACGTCATGTATTCTACTGCGAGCCACCATCTATTTCTGTTTACATTGTTCTTTATATTTTAACAGTTCTCCAACTAATATTTATTTGTGACGAAAATTAACCTTATGTCGTAGATAATTACCTTCTAATACTAGCTAGATTACGAGAAAAAGAACGTAGAACTATTTGGGCAATATGAAAACAAACATATCAATTTATTACATTTCACCTTGAGGTACTGTGAACTGCATTGTTCTTTCTTGTTTGCCTCCAGTTCCAGAAATATTGTACTCCTTTATTGTATTCCAGTCACTCCAATCTATTTAATTCAGAATATATATCTGGTAAAATTTATCTTACCCGTCTCTTCTTCCACAAATGAATTATTTTCATCACCACCAGTTTTTACCTTTAGCCTACCTTTACCGTAAACATAAATAATAAAATATTAATTAACTGAATGTTGCAATTTATAATTCATAAATAGTTTTATATATATGACATTGTTGATTAACGATAACAATTAAATGGATTATACAACTCATTATGATAAATAACATTAAAGAGTATAAATTAACAGTGGTGAATGTTATTTATGCCTATCGACATAAATAGTATGTAATATCAATTAGAAGTGGAAAACTTGGCAGCAGAGAGCTATGAAGGTTGACTTGATGAGAATAGGATCGGAATTCGAAAAGAACTGTTAATCGAAAGAATCATACATAGTGTGAAAGACAAGTGATATGAATTTGAAAATGAAGTATTCAGTGCATGGTTCTCATATTTCACCAAGATATTCTGGGTTTTTTTTGTGTTAAAATACATTGGTTATCCCCCACTCGTGTTCCCGTTCACAACAGTACTGGTGTGGTGTATGCTACTTCCATTGACAATTATCAGTAGTATGTACCACTAATTAGAAGTGAAAATTCTGACAGCAGACGATTAAGAAGATCGTACTAAGGAGAACAGGAATGTAAACAGGGTGTAATTGTAATAATAACAAGAATGGAGGATCGATAAAGTTAGTAAGAGACAATTGGTGGATGATGTGCACATAAAGTTTTTCATGTATGGTTTTCATTTGTTGATCTTTGTTTTCTACTAGCATTTTACCCATCATTGTATAAGTGTAAGGTTTTAAAGTGACATTCAAAGTTGACCGATCACCTCAGATTGAATGCAGTACTGGGAAAATTATACCATCGTTTAAATGTGCTATTGTATAATAGTTGATCGAACTGTAGTATAATTTTACTTCGTAATTTGTTTAAAGATAATAACGATGGGGTAATCTGAAAGTAGATGATAATCGTTAGAGTAAATAAATTCTAGCTTTTATCTCAAATTTCTTTAATTAAGTATTTTATTTGTATATTCAAAATCTTTAAAATATTCTAACAATAAATCCAATTAGTAATACTTTACTTGATATGGACACCGGATTCAAGTCTATCATCGTTTAACCCTGATAACAGCAGGTGACGATAGTTTTATAGAAAACTAATAGTAGCTTTAAATTCACATAGTATTGTTTACTTGAATCGTCCCATTCATATTTGGCACTGCAATTGATCAGTCTGTTATTGGCATATGTGTATACTGTGTGTATTGCCTCGATATTGGCTATTAGGACTCAATACCTAAGTGGGTAAGGTGATAGCGTTTGAAATGAACGGTACTGGGTTCGAGTCCCAGAGTGAACATCAACCCTGAGCTGTAGGCACACCTAGTTGACGAGTCTGAAATAGGATGAAATGCGCGTCTTGGATTCCACTGCTAGCCACTATTCCTCTTTGCTTAAAACAGTAGCTTTCTTTCCAGCGAGTGAAATAGAATAACATTATAGTATGAATTAAAGACTTGTGAACAATCGGTTATTTTAGTCAAAAGAATATATTACAATTGGAAAATAGAACATAAAAGATATTTTTATCAAATCGCTTACCTGCAGTGACATGAAGATCATAATTCAAAAGTGTATAAATAAAACATATCCATAGTAACCACTGGAATAAGTTGTAGATAGTATGCATTATTATCAAATGAATACCGAAAATTCTTTTTTTTTGCTACTTATTCACCATGGTTTATATACCATGATTTTCTTTTCTATTAGTTGACTGTCAAATCGATTCCCTGTTGATCGAATGTGTTGGCAGTTAAGTTTTAGAAACAGTTTAACTTTATGTATAAGCATTGAAAGCTGTCCATATAGTTCTGTCACTTTGTAAATTATATTAATTTATCAACTTTTGACCATTTAGTCGATTTAATGATTGATTAAAAGAATTATACATTATTATGTCATTTCATGCATGGTGACTACATTATCCTAAAAGCATTGGAGTAATTTTTACCGTTATTTTTTGTTGTTGTTGGTAATTTGGATTGTACTATTCAACAAATCTATTTAGGGAAATAATCAGTTCTAGTCATTAAATGAGAAGTATTCATAAGCATAGTTATTCTTAAAGTGCAGTGGAGATTGTCATATATTGAAACACTTTAGAAATACACAATCAAGTATTCATAGATCATGAATGCTTAAGCATTCAACTATCGCAAAATGCACAGTAATATTCGATCACTTATGTTATATTACCAACTTCTGTCACTTTGATGTTGTCATTTTCGATTGACAGTGATGAAGAAAGACCATTTAATGAAGTACTTTGACTTTATAACTAGAAGTTTCCACTAAGATTTCTTAGTGAACGGATTTGAAGCTGGTTAATGATACCTACAATAATATAACAGATTTTTTAAAATGATTATTCATTTGTGAACAATTCTTCTAGCTGACTTATCAATATATCTCAAGTTTAACTCCTAACAACAAACAAAATTGTTATTACCTCACTTCACTGATGTTGGAAACTATATAGGATATAAAAATCATAGTGTATAAATAATTCAGAGTTATTACTTCTTTTCAAATATCAACTGTCACTGTTTAACACCAAGAAATAATAAGATTTATGAATATTTCAAAACTGATCCTCCAGTGAGTTTGTTAGTTCGATGTAATTACAATGTAATAAAACAAAATTGTGATCCTTCAGCTTGAGTTAATAATTCACCGCTTCATTTGACATCAAAAGACATCTTATTCTAGTTTGATATCGATCTCTCATCCTTCTAATCTTTCTGTAACTTGTTGATAAATCCAGTGTTTCACTCTGGAATATGACTTCAACATTTAAAGTTCAGAACTTGTCTCAATCTAGGCTATGATCTTGACACGGTAGGCTTACTAGCTTGATATGGTGGCTAGAAATGAGTGAGTTCGAATTGAGACTACCGTCCTGGGCAGAGAGACGAAAATTATCACCTGATTAATTGATAAGTGATAGAGAGAAAAACGATGGGTCAACTAGAACAAATACTATTTATCTCACGGTTATTTTTGTATCAAAAATCTCGTTCCGTTTTGTCCAATGAATCGATTAGTTTCAAAATGGTAATTACCAGTTATCATTTTCTGAAATGTGATATAAAATGTAAATACTCCTAGAGTGATCACCTTTTCTCCAAGTTACGAAAGTAATTGACTTACCAAGTACTAGCTATCAGAAATAATGAAAGGGCGACATTATTCCATTAAGCGGTTCGCGATTCTTATTTTCATAAAAATCAGAAGGATGCCTCAAACACCGTTGACGATATCCGCGGCACCTGAGCTTCATATCGAAGACCTCACTTCTACGGATGAAGAAATAACAGGAATCCAACTGGTAAATATTACCATCTGTCGAACGAACATGGATTTGGATGCAATGCTAAATCATGAAGATGATGTTGTTTTTATAAACTCGGGATAATTCAATGATTGAAACAAAAACATAGACGAATATGCTCTCGCCAATGGGCTGTGTGACTGATAGCCATCTTGCTTAGCCACTGAGTGAAACACTTGAATTAAGGACTTAGTTTGTTTCTCGTTGCAATGCTATGTTTCACTCGATTTGTGGTTATGACCCACAACCGCAATTCCTTGATTCCATTGTCCAATATACGACACGATTACGGAGGTGTAATGGAAGACATAGACGTACTAAAACTTCATATAACAAATAAGATGGTACGTCCATATTTTAGCTACTAACTGAGAATCTAACGTCTTGTTTCATTTTTTGTTAGGGGATTGTTGAAGAAATACGAGAATGCGAAGGTGGAAAACCATAGGAGAGAAATGATCATTAGGTTTGGAACAAGATACCTATAGAAAGCCCTTTTTAAGGCCACGCATAAGTTCTTTTCAATTTTTCTTTTTAAATTTGTTACAAATTGTATCAGTGAATTGCTATCATTTGCATTCCGTATACGTCTTCTGTATTTTCGATGACAGTTCTGTCGTCATTGTGTTTAACGTCAATCATCTATGAATTACTTTTACAGTTACATCATATTTTTTTAGATAACCGTTCTTATGTATCCAAAAATAGTCGTTAGGCGAAATTCTGTGATTGAAAGAAACCAATTACACTGAACTAATGACATATTTAACGATAATAAATAGTGACAGTGGTATAGCCTGCAGTTTAGACTATACTTAATCATACTGATTCAAAATAGTAAAAA